TATTTCCAGTGACCAAGTTAGAACAAATTTTAACCCTAAACTCTTACGAGAGAAACAATGAACTAACTTGAATAAAAAAGAAAAAAAAAAAAAAGAAAAAAAAAGTAGTGACTGAAATAAAGACTTGAATTGCATCAGATGAGTGGTCACTAGTTGAGACCAGTGGTCTTTATGGGGCAATGAGATTCCTCCTGTGGAAGTGGATGCAAATATCCAAGCCAGGTACTTGAAGCAAACACTGAAATTGTCTGTTTAAGGGTAAGCATAGAAAATAAGCGTATACTTGATGACATCTTTGTATAGAACAATATGTTGTTGAGTCAGGTCTCAGTAGAAGCAGAAATCAGACACCTGTCCACCTCTGCCACATGCCTTGAAGAACGTGGCTTGACCCATTGAGCACGCTATTCCTAGGTGTCCTTCTCATGCAGTATTTACAGTTACAGCTGGAAGTATCTGTTTTTAGGGGTACATTCAGTCACAACTGAAGAGAGGAAGATATCTGTTTTCTGTTGCTGCCCTCCCCATCTCCAGTACACTCCTGCAGATGGGAGAAGCGAAGGCAGTGTAACTCTGACACCTGCGGCAGCACCAGGTGCTGCCTGCACGCTGTGGGCAGCAGGCAGGGGCAGCAGGCAGGGACAGTAGGGCAACAGGAAGGACAGCAGGCAGGGGCAGCAGGCAGGGACAGTAGGGCAACAGGAAGGACAGCAGGCAGGGGCAGCAGGCAGGGCAACAGGACAGCAGGCAGGGGCAGCAGGCAGGGCAGCAGGACAGCAGGCAGGGGCAGCAGGCAGGGAGGCAGGCAGGGCAGGCGGGTTAGCGGGCGGGGGCAGCAGCCCCCCCCCCTGCTACTCACTGGCTGGCAGCATCTCTCCTGCCTTCCTCACTGACCAGTTAGGCACATGTAGATGAGCACGCAGAAGAGAAGCTCAGCAGTGGCACTGCTGTGTCACGATGCACCTTTTCACTTTGTCACTTCGCTTGGCTTTGTGGAGGCCGAACGTTCAGACCTGGACTCCCCTGTGAGGAGGGGCTGCCCCAGCGCCCACCTCAAGCAAGCTGCGTGCTTAACCCTGCCAGCTGGAGACCAGGATGGGGAAAAGTCATAGAATCATAGAATGGTTTAGGTTGGAAGGGACCTTCAAGATCATCAAGTTCCAACCTCCTGGCCACAGACAGGGACAACTCCCACCAGACCAGGTTGCCCAAGGCCACGTCCAGCCTGGCCTTGAACACCTCCAGGGATGGGGCCTCAACAACCTCTCTGGGAAACCTGTCCCTGTGCCTTACCACCCTTAAAGTAAAAAACTTCTTCCTAATGTTTAATCTAAACCTGCCCTTTTCCAGTTTATATCCATTCCCCCATGTCCTATCACTACATGCCCTAGTAAAAAGTCCTTCCCCAGCTCTCCTGTAGGCCCCCTTTAGGTATTGGAAGGCCGCAATAAGGTCTCCCTGGAGCCTTCTCTTCTCCAGGCTGAATAGCCCCAGCTCCCTCAGCCTCTCCTCATAGGAGAAGTGCTCCAGCCCTTGGATCGTCCTTGTGGCTTTCCTCAGGACGCTCTCCAGCAAGTCCATGTCTTTCTTATGTTGGGGACTCCAGAGCTGGATGCAGGACTCCAGAACTGGATGCAGTTCTCCAGGTGGGGTCTCACGAGAGTGGAGTAGAGGGGCAGAATCACCTCCTTTGACCTGCTGGCCACACTTCTTTTGATGCAGCCCAAGTCAAACCCAAGGGTAGCTCCACAGGTTTTTACAGAGGCCTTATCGGGCATGACATGTTTCAGCCTTTCCAGGACCTACTCCGGTGTCAGAGGGCGAGTGGGAAGCGTGGACAAACACACCATTTCCTTCTTTGTGTGCTGGCTCTGCAGGACACGTTTTGCTCACCTAATCAGATGAAGATAAACACCTTGCAATACGCTGTATAACTGACGTCAGCTTTTTGTGTGCTTGGAATGATGTCAGCACCAGCTTTGCAGCTACACTTTAATCTCTTGAGCAGAAATAAATGCAGGAGCTAACCTATTACTTTTCACAAGCTGCCACACCAAGATTATTTTCTTTTTCCCCTGGAGGCTATGGATGTTGTGTGAAGGAGGCAGGAGAGCCAGAACAATGGGATCGACTCCTGTGCTGAGCCATTTTTCATGAGGAGTCTAAACAAACTAAAGCTGAATAATAACTAGAATAAATGACACGTCTCGGCACACAAGTCAGGCTCATTTAGGCCCTTAAGAAATTAATTCCACTCATTTACACCAGCACAAATAATATCAAATGAATTTCTCAGGATTTACACTCCCATCACTGTAAATACATTTTTCCTTACATTTACATACACTCACTAATATATTTAAAACTTTCCAAGCCAAATATGGCCTACAGTTTCAAACTTGTACAGAGGCCTCCAGGGAGGATCAAAATTTCAAGTAAATAGCCTAAATTGGTTTAATTCAGAAGTCAAAAAAGCAGAAACAGAGGCACGGAAACTGGTACCAAGAATGTAACTATCAAGGACATTGGGAAAAGCAAAAGTCACTGCCAGAACAGGCCTGATTTAATTTTTTTTTTCCCTTTTTTTAAAAATAAGTTTTTCTCAGTTGTTTTTCATGTTCCAGTGGAATTACACCACATTAGAAGTCATTTATACTCTGCTTTACTTACACTTTGATTTCAATTTGTCTCATCGTGTTACCAATTTTCAACATTTGCTTCTACTGAATGAATAGGAAAGTTACAAGCTAGTTAAGTTGTTAGCTATACTGTCACTTATTAAATTAGCAAGTTTTTTTCATAGAAACCTTAGACAAAACCTTAAGAATAAAGAACTGATCATTACTAATTCTTTTGGTATTCATTATGCTATTAGTCACAGAGCTCACTCATACATTTCCAAATTTCAACATAATCATTTCAGGATGAGGAGCATTATTTTTTCCCCTTCCCAATAATTTTTCCTTGGCATCACATTTCATACCCTCCTCTCTGACTGCCAGGAAAGTGTGGTTTGAGGTTTTAGGGGCTTGGGTTGGGCTTTTTTTTTTTTTTTTTTTCTTCCCAGAAACAGAGGTTTACGAAGGTTTATCTCTAAGAGAATGCATTTTCAATTGACTTGTTTATCCCCATAACACATGCACACCTCAGTAAGGCTAAGGGATCAGGTTATATGACATCATGGTGCCAAAGGACTAATTGTCACTTGTTTGTGCAGTCCTGAAGAAAAGCCTGTAGCTTGAAATTACACACAGTGCTGCATTGACAAAATAAATGTCATGGTAAATAACAAAATATTTTTTTTATTTATTTATTTTATTTTAATTGGGAGGGGTAGAGGAGACAAAGGGCCGGAGGGCCTCTTGCTCCCAAAGTCTACCATAAGGTCTCGTTCTGTGAAATGATTTTGTTTGTAGACACGGCTTTTCACCCTTCACTGTTGTGAGAATATCATCCCTTTCCCCAGAACCGGAAGGCAGCTGAGCCCATCCTGCAGTCTCTGCTTACCAAAACCCTGCATCCCACTGGAGTTGCTACCCAAATTGAGGGGCGAGCAGCACTAAGAAAGCTGTTGAAGCCTTTCTGCAGCAAGCAGTGCTATAACTGTACTCCACTAACAGCACCAACAAAGCAGGAATAAAAAGAGAGCCAGAAATCAGCTGTTTGAATCACAAATCCCTCTCTCAGGTTTCACTTTAGGGACAAGGAAGCTCCAAAAACAAGGCACCCCTTCAGCATTTTATAAAGCTGACTTCAGCTGCCAAAGGATTCCTCCGCAGTAACACCAAGAAAGCTTTTGCCTCGAATAAAAAAATTCACTGCAAACGAGCAATCATTAGTCAGCCGTGTTTTTCATACAATTACTGGCAGTGAAAAAGCAAGCGTGCAGGTTGCTGTAAAATAAGGTCTAACTACTTCCACCCAAACAGAACAGAAGCCGTTCACATAAGTTTTAGTGGAGGAGAGGGAAACCCTCAGCGCTCCCCCCTCCCCTTCTCTCTATGACTGATTACAATCTGCTTTTTCTATAAAGCACATTTATTGTGGGAGTTCGATTTGAAAGAGTTTCAAGTAATTTAAACTTTGGCTGCAGGCACACAGATCATTTAAAAACTGATCTTCAAGTGTTCCTACATGTTAATGACATTTCTGGTTGCTGCTATAATCAACAATTTTAATTCTCAACCTACCAACTGAAATATTCAACGCATGCCAGGAGTTACCTAGGATGAAATCATGTACTGTCAGCCAGCCTGACAGCAACCCCTGTGCTAGCAGGTTTGGTGCAATATTCTCATTTTGCAGTGGAGGGGTTCAGGGCAGTGGGATGATTCTTTAGGGGTGGCCATTGGCTACCTACAGCTCTTTCAAACCATAGAACTGCTGAAAACAGTGCAGCCTGGTTCAAATCAAAGCCCCCTTCAACCACTTTTTTTTCTTAAGGATTCACCTATCCTGCCTCAGGACCTTATTACTCCATATGCACCTATGTGATCTCACTGCTTGCATCTATTAACTATTACCCAAGATGAATGACAGAAACAGGATCCATCCTTAAATAAAAGACAGTAAATTAGGAGGTGCTCTCAGCTCCATCCCTTTTAGAATCGAGGGGCAAGTGCAAGATGCAGATTTTTCTAGGACTTTGGAAAGTGCCTGTGCCGGCTTGCTCCATTTTGGTACCTCTCCATCACCAAAAGCCATAGTTCTTTCTGCATTTCAATACCCTACTTGAAAAAGGTAAATGGGCTTGATAAGTGGTAGGGACAAGCCAAAAGAAAATAAAGAAAATAAAAGCCAGTTTCATTCATAGCAAACAGTATAATTTTTGATGAAAAGGCTTACAGTGTTACCTTGTAAATGTAAGTGCTAAGCTTTCTCAGCTCACAGGTCTGGCAAGAGCTTGTTAGCAGCACAAAAAATACTAGCTAAATGATCCTAATGGGGCAAACTCCTCCAGTACCTCAGACATTCAGCAAGAACATTGTTCACCACTGAAGTTTAGTTAAATATGCACAATTTTATTTATTGAAGAGATTAGGACAAAAACATTAAACCAAATACATGACAAAGCACCAGAGGCAGTAAAACCCCACCATGCACATCACCAATCTTTCCTCCTATAAGGTACTTATAAAATAAAAAAAAGTCCTTCTTGACACAGCACCATCTTCAGAGTGTAAAAACATTACTCCTTTATATTCTTAGTTACCAAAATAGAACCAAGGCAGGTCAGCTGCAGCTAGCTTTGTCTCTTGATAAAGAACTGTGAAACATCCTCTTGAGAGTGGGACCATAACTTTCCTGCAAGGCAGGCAAATAGCATCCATACGTCAAATGCCAAGTAGCTGTACGCACATGCCACATACTATAATTAAGCACAAATTCAAGTAACATTTACATACTACAGAGTCCACATGTACCTACCCAAAAAACATGACCACTTCACAAAACGTATACAGGCAGTAATATCAGAACAACTGAGGTACTGGAAACACAAATATTTATGCCAAGAGATTTCAATATCATACAGCAATATAAAAGCAGTAATAAAAACATTTGCCAGTCTAAATCAAATAAAGCTATCTAGAAAAAAAAAAAAAGCTAAATAAAAAGTTATTTAGGGACAGAAATACCTGAACAGAAAAGAAGTGTGTTAACTACAGCATGTAACATGTCATCCCAAGTCAACCCGTAATTGAAGTACTGGCTTAATACATCACTACTGTGACATTTTCTTCAATAAATAGAATAAGTCTTGACAATACAAAAGGTGCATATTACTGTGTATGTTTCAAGAGGAATATCTGTAATATAAATGTTCAGCTTATTAATACCCTCTTATTTCTTATTCTGGACATAAACAAAAATCAAACCCAAACAATTCTTTTCCCAAGTTGAGAGGAATTCAAAGAAAAAAAAAAACAACACAATACTCTTCTTCAATAATAAAGAGCCCTCTATTTACACGTGGGCCAGTCAGTTAAAGAAGAGATCGGTTCTCAGACAAAGACACGACTAAGGGCTTTCTGCCCTCTCTAGTCATATACGTGCAGCATGGCAGATATGGAAGCCAGTATCTCATATCTTAAAAAAAAAATAAAATATATAGTTTTCTTCTTTTTTTCCCCCCTATTAGAGCAGTAATGCATCTGGAAGTTCGAGTTATAATAGCTTCCTGCAACAAACCATTTGACACAAAACAGAACAGCTTGTTAAATGACAGTTACTTCCCCTTAAGGGAACAAAGCATTAAAATGTCATTTCCTGACAAGAATATTAAGTAGTTTATTTAGAAGAAATGAGTTGAAAATAGCTATCAAGAGACATGAACTGAAATTTTGTTTGTTTTTAGCACCCACTTTTCATGTCCGTCTTTGTGCACCTAATTTTTTTCTTAAATTAATCCCATTAATTATTAGACATCCGATTAAAAAAAAATGTTAGCCAATTGTACTTTCCCTGAATAATGGCTGAAGTTAAATATCTAACAGTGCGATGCCAAGATGTGAGCTGAGGCAAAAAAGTTTCTATTTGTCGTGAGTTACCACTATTTTTAATGGAACAGAAATAGGAGTGATACAGCTGCACCAGAATTGGCATGTGCAGTCTCCTTGGCTCCAAAAAGGTGAGAAGCTACAATTGCTCCATGCTGCCTTTTCTCCTCCAAATCAATCTAACCTGATAGCAAGCTCCCCCCGCCCCCCCAATCTGTCCCCATGCTACATTTGTTATATTAGCTCCTTGTGGAGGTTCCTTCTCAATTCGAGGACCTCTGAGTGTCTTTTGCTACCAAGCTAGGCTGATGCAGGATGTGATTTAACACGGTCAGGAAGGGCTCCTTCATGTGTCCATCTCCAAGTTGTGTACCTTCTGAACACCAGTCTTTGTGCTCAGTTAAAGAACGGGTCCAAGTCTTCTTCCATGTTGACATCAGGCACCAGCTGATCTGATACTTCCTTAGCACCATATCCTGAATTCGATACATTAAAATCTGTAGAAAACCATGGATGGTCCAGAATTTCCTGTGAAGTCAGCCTTTCCGATGGCTCCCGACGCAGTATGCTACGTATGAGGCATTTTGCCTTGGGGGATAGAGTTTCTGGAATGTTAAACTGCCCACGACGGATCTTGCTGAAGAGGGAACTAGGCTCAATGTCATGGAAAGGATAGCGTCCAACTAGCATGGTATAAAGCATGACACCTAGACTCCATACGTCCGCTGCTTTGCCAGAGTAGCTGCCATTTGTGTTCAAGATCTCTGGACTCACATAGGCCGGGCATCCATGCTTATCAGAGAGAGAGTCATCATTTCCTCTTAAAATATAAGCATCTTCTAGGCTTTCCAATTTCACTCTAGTCCTGCGGGCAAAAAAAAACCCAAAACCATCAAGGTAAGCAAACATCAAAACACAAATTCTGGGCTGTTACAATTACATGGTTACAACAATAATATTATACAAAATTCAGCAACCACAGAAGTGCATCAGTTTAAAATCCCATTCACAGCACTTGCAACAGATAGTTGATACCGTTTCTTCTATACTGGTTAGTGATATTGAGACTTCCAGGGAATACTGCCATACACACAAGGTTTCAAACACAGTAATGTCCAGTAAACTCATTAGTAAGATCTTAAAAAGATTAAAGTAATTGCCATATTCATGCTCTTGGCAAATTTTACATAGATGTGATTTCCAAACAGGGACAGAAGCCTCAAGATTATTTGTTAGCTGCACTCTAATGTACCTGTGTAAGACTCACATCCAAATACAAGTCTAGCCCTAACTAGACAAGGTTATTTTGACACCTCCACCCTGGCGAACAGTTACTTGCACCTGTAATTCTGCAGGGTTCAACAGGGTTCAATAGAATCACCACTTTGACCCTGAACGATCCCTCTGACCAACCAAGATTTTTCTTCATCCCAGCACTAAGGAAGAGCAAGTTTAACAGATTTCAGTCTTCCTAAATAGACCTTTGGGCAAAGGGAGATCAGGTGAGCTGAATGCCAAGATTAAAAGCAAGCTTATCTACCCAGCCAAACCAGAGAAGCTCCTCACATTGGAACGAACAGAGAGGTGACGGGGATGCCTTATCTAGATTGCAAACTCCTTCTGCCTGCAAAGCACTGTGAACTTGCCATTGTGCTGCAGTAATTACTTCTGCAAGAGAATTTTCTACCCTTATGGGTATCACACAGGAGCAGAAAAAAAATATGCCAAACTTGCTTGTCACAGCACTAGATGAACATAACCTTTCTTTCCTTTTAATTCTCACTGCTAGTGTCTGTAGCTATATTTAAAAATCTGTCCCTATTAAGGGTATCCAAAAGGATTACCAATTACCCTTTGGACTGTTTGCCAGCAGTGGTTGGCTTTGAGCGCGGAATCAGTACAACGCAACAGGATTTGTCCAGCGCATCTGGATGGAAGAGTGACCTAGCAGCAGTGCAGGTTTTCCTTTCAGCAACTCGGGACCACAACTCAACTTTGGGTATTACTGTCCTCGTCCCTCAACCTCACCGGTCCGTATGATCACTCTTAGCCCTGTGTCATGGCCGTTTTCCCACACTACAGACATCCACAGGCAGGGACTGAACTTCACCCCAGACAGCAGAATTCGCATCTCTTGATCGAAGCACATCATTTAACAGGCATTAAAACAGACAACGAGAGCCCTGTTTCCTAAATGTTTACTGAAGACAACATTGCTTGGGCTTGAGTTGCAAAAGACAGCTGGGCCGGCTTTGGCTCAGCCTGGGTTGCAGGGCAGCTCCGCACTATCTTCTTTGAACCAACAGAAGAGCATTTTACTCCGTGGAGTACTCCAGAGGCAACCATGCCATAAACTCTCATAATGACACTTGGACCTTTTCAACAGCTAGAGACGTTTACTAGCAGAGGTGAAAGCCCCTTTGGCAACGCGCCCCGAATCAGGAAGTCATAAACAGAGAATGGGGAATACCTGGCTCCCAAGCCCAGTCTGTCAAGACACCTCCTTCTCTCCTCAAACAGGCCAGTGTTTTCTCCTCCAGTGCGGATGCTGATGGGGTTTGCGCAACACACCTGCCTCCTGATTAATTACCCATTGCCAGCACTTCTCCCGGGCATGGACAACCCCCTCATTAGCAGCGAAACAATACTTTGCAGCAGCCATACCTCACACAGGAAGCTGGCTGCAAGGAGAAACTTAACTACAGTTATCAAGACCACAGCAATTTCCCTCCATACACAGCTCAGAGGGTCCAAAACCAGAGACTGATGAGAGAAGAAACCTTTCACGATGCTCAGCTTGGACACATTCCCGCACCTGCACAGCCCAGGAAGAGCAGAAAGAAGAAACGCCCAGAGAAAGAAAACACACCAAGGCGGGCAGAGAACAGAGAGGAGGAAATGAAAGGGAAGGCAGGGACATGAGTTGAGGTTCCATTTGCATTGCCCACCTCAGTTTTTCCATAGAAAATTATGTGTAGCAATAAAACGGTGAGGCCAGCCACTCAAACATGCATTAAGTCACTGAACTGCCAGACAGGAAAGCATCGCCTCGCTCCTGCTAACAGGAGAACACACACACGAGGAGCGGGGCAGAGCATGCTATTTATACACAACTTACAGGAGGGAATTCACCACCCCACCCCCCCACACACACACACGCTCTCCTGCCATCCCAGGGTCAACAGCACAGGGAAACGCTGTTTACTCTCCCATCCTATTTTACATTTCTGCGAGTTGCAACAGAATTTAGAGAAACAGTTTGCCGAGAAGCTTTTCTATTACAGAACATTACTGAGATTCCCTAATCTTTTGTTTTCCACAATGGACGCGGTACAAAACCAGAAAGGACAGACTGCAAGGTGTGTCAAAAAACCCTCGTGTCTTTCTCTAACAGGAGAAATCATTTCCTGATAATAAAACAGAAGCAGCACACAGAAGCCGTATCCCTGCTTTGCTTTTCTTGCAAGGTGCTGCAGCCCGCGGCCCTCCACGCATGCTATGGCGGGTTTTGTTTGAGCAAGCAAATGGAACAACAGCTGGCCCTTATCTGCCTGCTCCTCTGTAAGCTGTGGCTAAATGAAGCAAACACTCCAACCAGGTTTTTCATCCTGCTGAGTTGACAGGCTTTGAGGAAACAAAAGGTCCCAAATTAAACAAAAACACAACCTTCAGTCCTCCTCCCTCCTTGTCAGACCCCCAAGCCCTCCACTGGGAAGACCCTCATGTATAAGGTGAAATGTACAAGCGGTGAAATGGCTTCTCCGCAACCAGGCGGTGCTGGTAGGGCACTGGACACGCCACGCCACGCAGGTCCACACTTGCCCCTCGGACGGCAGGAGCCGCATCTCTGGAGCACACAGTGCCAGGCACACCGCCTCAGCGTGACTTCCACCCCTTCCCCATTACCAGCAGAAGCAGCTCATGTGTCCCCATTTCCCTTTGTAAGGCCAGGCAGGTGTCTTTGCAGAAGGTGACAAGGCAGGTTTTCCATCCTCGCCCAGTGCCCCTTGCCACAGCCAGTGCCGGGGCTGGGGACACCCACTCCAGCCTGTTTGCACCAGCAACAGATGGGTTTACACACCTCAGCCTCGCATACAGAACACAGTCTATAATCAGGCTATAACCGGGCAACACTCGGAGGGGGATGGTAAGTCTCCCTCCCCTATTTACAGTCATTTCATGTTTTTTCAGGCAATCAAAAAGGAGCAGCCCGGCTCAGGAGCTGCGATTTCCCAGCACACAGCACCCCATCTCTGCAAGAAACAGCTCCAGGCTCTGTCTGGCCTTCCCTGTCTCCACATTTCAAGCATTGCCTAAAAGAGCTCTGTTTTCTGCAAGCCAGAGAGCTTTTTTTTTTGGAGGGGGGGAGGGAACAGGAAAGAGGGGAGTCGAAATACACAGAAATGCAGAGACACCCTGGATGAGAAGCAATGTTTCCCCCCCCGCCCCCTCTCAGAGGAAGCACTGAAATTAAATATCCAGGAAAAAGAATAAAAGCCAACAACAACAAACAGACCCTCAAAACTGCAAGTAGTTTCTGAGAAAAAAGAACCTCCACGGCAAAGGGTGGGGAGTGCGTCCAATTGCAGAGTAACCAGACAACCCCAAATTCGACACTTGGCAGGCAAGGGACTGACTGAAAACCGAACACTGAGATGTGAAATCACAATCAGCTTTGAAGCGCCTCCTGTTACAGAGCAGAAAAAGGCCAAACAAAAATAATTATCTTTTTTTTAAAAAAAAAACAAACACATTTCTAAAAACCTTTCATTCCCTAAATAATTAACTCACATAAGTCAACTGAAGGACCCCCACAGGAGAAAAAAAAAAGTTTTCCAAAAGCATCAGCATTTGAGTTCGACTATTCAAATGGTTGCAACAAAATTAATCCCCAAAGTTCAAATGTAAGCTACTGCCAAAGCCGGATGAGAATCACTTTGTAGACGTACTGTAGGGCAACAAAGACTTTTGTCAAGGCTTACGTAATTACAGTACATAATTTCAAGTTTTAATGCAGACCCTGAATAAGGACTTGGAAAAGGAGCATTATGCATCTATCAGATCATTGATAAAACCCTGCATTAGTCTAATGCATTAAAAAAAAAAAATACAACCCTGAATCATGGCTATTTAAAAAGGGGAAGCTATTCTGCCTACGAATGCTTTCCCATTACTGGTGAATGAAACCACAGAAGTGCAATCAGAGGGCAGCAGCAGCACTCAGACGGGAAATGCGTCTTTGTCCCCATAGAAACCGTCAGGGAAACCCATGAAAAACAATACCACTCTGAATTTCTTATCAATATGCCATTCATTACTTGACTGCATTCAGACTTTGCTCTTCAGTAATGTAACAAAACCTAATCAATTAAACATCTTCCAGAAGATTCTTCAATGCAACCTCCTGAGTTAGTACCCATCTCTGGCAGACAGTTTTGTTGCACATCCTACACTTTTTTTTCCAGAGTGATTCGTATTATTCCTCCCCGCAGAGCTTCGGGGCTACTGGAAAACGACTACCCTGCCTTTTGACACCGAAGCCAGGGCTGTAAGAACCCGGCATTCACACTTGCTCTCCAAAAGCAAACACAATTTCCATACCAAAATCGGTGGAATTATTCAGAGGGCTCTAAGCTCATAAGGCAGGAAAGAACATTTTTTTAAAAAAAAGAACATTTAAAGCCGTCTGACTGACTGAAAGTCTGAGTGTTTCAGAGGAAAGTATCTCCACTGCAGTGAATAAACAGTCCAATAAAGGAGTCCATGCCTGACTCAATGAAAGCAGTTGCTTCTAGTCTGCCTCCGAAGCCCGTCTGTATGGGAAATAACACCTGAACCACAGCTCAGCCACTGTTGCCATTTGGG